GGGGCTTCCCCCAGCCCAGGGTCATGGGGTGGACCCCCCAACCCCCCAGGCATCCTTTGTGGTGCGGGCAGTGCTAGAGCTGCCCCCCAGGCTGGGTCTGCCCCCCCTTCCAGCTGACCCTGCCCCCTGTCCCCCCAGGTGAAGCTGTCGGACTTCGGGTTCTGCGCCCAGGTGAACAAGGAGGTGCCGCGCCGCAAGTCCCTGGTGGGCACCCCCTACTGGATGGCGCCCGAGCTCATCTCCCGCCTGCCCTACGGCCCTGAGGTGAGACCTCCCTCCCCTCCCCGCAACCTGTGCCTCAGTTTCCCCTCCCCTGTGCTTGTTTCTCTTCCCTGCGCCTCAGTTTCCCTTCCCCTATGCTTGTTTCCCCTCCACACTGTGGTTTCTGTGCCTCAGTTTCCCCTCTCCCCATGTCTCAGTTCCCCTTCCACCATACTTGTTTCCCCACCGTGCCTCAGTTTCCCCCTCTCGCCCTCATCTATGGAGCCTGGGAGCCAGGCACTGCTGGAGTGGCACTCCCTGGCTCAGGGGATGGGGGTGGGGGTGGGGAGCTCCAGCCCCTGCCCCGCCCCCACTGACCCCCCTGCCCGGGCAGGTGGACATCTGGTCGCTGGGGGTGATGGTGATGGAGATGGTGGACGGGGAACCCCCCTACTTCAACGAGCCGCCGCTCAAGGCCATGAGGGGGGTGGAGTATTATGGGGTGTGGGGGGTATTATGGAGTGGGGGTATTGGCGTGTGTGGAGGGTATTTTGGGATGTGGGGTTAGTATTATGGGGTGTGGGGGGGTATGTGGTGTGGGGGGTTTACAGGGTGGAGGGTATGATGGGGTGGCAGTGCATTATGAGGTGGGATTGATCAGCTGGAGGGGAGTATTATGGGATGCGGAGAAGGGATTATAGGGCGAATGTGGGGGGATTATGGGGTGGGTGGTATTATGGGGTGGGTGTGGGGAGGGGTTGTGGGGGGTATGATGGGGAGAAGAGGAGTATTCTGGGGTGTGGGGAGAATATTATGGGATCTGTTTGGGAATTATTATGGGGTGGAGGGGAGCATTATGGGATGTGACGGGGGGCACCTACCCTGGCGTGACAGCTCAGAGCTGTGCAGGGCTGGGGGTCTCTGCCTCCTCCCCCCGGCCCCTGCCCTCATGCCCCTCATCCCCCCCCAGGTGTCCCCGCTGCTGAAGGGCTTCCTGGAGCGCCTGCTGGTGCGGGAGCCGGCGGCACGAGCCACGGCAGGCGAGCTGCTGTCCCACCCCTTCCTGGCCAAGGCCGGGCCACCGGCTGCCATCGTCCCCCTCATGCGCCAGCACCGGCTGCGATGAGCTGCCCGCCGCCGCCGCGCACCAAAGACCGGGGTGGGGGGGGGCCATGGACCCCCCCTGCCCAGCCTGGCCACGGGGCCCACGGACCGGACTGACTGTGCCACTACTGTCCCGGCCACGGGAGGGCTCCCTGCCCCCGCCCCGTGGCCCCTACTACTGAGCTGGGGGGTATTATGGCCCCCCCCCTTTTTTAGACACCCAAAGGGGTGAATCTGGGCCTGGGAGGGGGTTAACTCAGCCTGCTCCTCCCCCGTGACCCCTCCCCCATGGGGCTGGGTGTGTGTGGGGGGGGTCCAGGCAAGGGGCATCTGTGTCGACCCCCCCCGAATGGCTCCGATCCTGGAGACCAGCACAATGATGGGGGGGGTGAGATGCACCTGCCTCAGCTCCCTCCCTCTCCTGACCCCCCCTCCAGGGTGGGCCACACCAGCCCCCACCTACCACACTACAGCCTTGCACCCTGCCTGGGCCGGATCCTGACCCCACTGCTCCCCCCACCCCGGGATTCGCTCCGGGGCCGGGGCTGGGACCCCAGAGCTTGCCCAGGAGGACACTACTGAGGGGGAGCCGGGCGGGGGGGGGGCAACTGCTATTTATACGGGGCTTTTGTAACACTGCAGTTCGGGGGTGTCCGGCCCCCGGCCCAGCTGTGAGCTGAGCCCTGGGCGGGGCTGGGCCGGACTCTGTCCTGATCGGGTCCAGGTCAGTTTTACTATTAAAGGGTTTTTTCGTTTTGGAGCTGCTGCCTTGGGCTTTGTCGGGGCTGGGAGGGGCAGGGGGGGAATGACGACACATGAGGGGGTCCTGGCATCCCAGCCTGGCTGTGGGGGTCTCCGGCCTGACTAAGGGGTCCCTGGCCCACCTATGGTGGGTCCTGACCTGGCTATGGAGGTCCCAGCCCAGCTATGGGGTCGGTCTCAGCCCCCCAGATGTGGCCCAGCCCCCAAGAGAGAGGCCAGGTCTGGGCAGGGGCCAATTGCCTTGGCCAGCAGCTGGGTTTTGGGGTCTTGGGGGCTGTGGGTGGGGAGTGAGGGGCACCGGCAGGGCTTGGGGGGGCCATGGGGTGGATGGAGGCCCCCCCGGGGAGGCTGGCTCGGGGCCCCATCCCAGGGACAGCCTGTGGGGGCGGGGCATGGAAGGGAAGGGGTTAATCAGGGAGAAGGGACTAGTGGTTAGAGGCAGGTGGGGGTGGGGGCTGGCTGGCAGGACTCTGGGGTGCCCGCGCGGGGCCCTGGGGCTGGGGTCAGGGGTGGAGGAACAAAGCATGCTGGGAAAAACAAGCTGCATCTCGAACCTCTCTGGGTGGAAGTGTTTATTGCTGGCAGGAGGCGGGGTGCAGAGGCTGGTCTGGGGAGCAGAGGATCATGGGAAGGCAGCTTTCCCAGGCAAAGAGCATCATGGGAAGGCCAATCAGATGCTCATGAGGAGGCCAAAATCCCAGGGAGAGATGATCGCGGGGGGCCGTTTCCAAGCGGGATGCTTCCCCAGGCAGAGAGGATCATGGGAGGACCGTTTCCTTGGCAGAGAGGATCATGGGAAGGCCGTTTTTCTGGGGAGAGGTTCATGCGAAGGTCGCTTTCCAAGCAGCTCAAGGGAAAGCTGCTTCTGCAGGCAGAGAGGACCATGGCAAAGCCGTTTTTCTGGGCAGAGGATCATGGGAAGACCTTTTTCCAAGCAGAGAGGATCATGGGAAGGCTGTTTTCTAAGCAGAGTGATTCATGGGAAGACGGTTTTCTAAGCGGAGAGGATCATGGGAAGACTGTTTCCAAATGGAGAGGATCATGGGAAAGCCGTTTTCCAAGCAGAGAGGATCATGGGAAGGCCGTTTCCAAGCGGGGAGGATGATGGGAAGGCCGTTTCCAAGCGCAGAGGATCATGGGAAGGCCGTTTCCAAGCGCAGAGGATCATGGGAAGGCCGTTTCCAAGCGGGGAGGACGATGGGAAGGCCGTTTCCAAGCGCAGAGGATCATGGGAAGGCCGCTCCAAGCAGGGAGGACGATGGGAAGGCCGTTTCCAAGCGCAGAGGATCATGGGAAGGCCGTTTCCAAGCGCAGAGGATCATGGGAAGGCCGTTTCCAAGCGGGGAGGATGATGGGAAGGCCGTTCCAAGCGGGGAGGACGATGGGAAGGCCGTTCCAAGCAGAGAGGATCATGGGAAGACTGTTTCCAAGCAGGGAGGACGATGGGAAGGCTGTTTCCAAGCGCAGAGGATCATGGGAAGGCGGCTCAGCTGCACTTGCAGTAGAAGGCGGAGATGCTGTCGTCCCAGTCCCCGAGCAGCCCCTTGCGCACCTCCTGCAGCCGGTAGACGACGCCGGCGCTGAAGCGCTTGGTGGCGCCCTCCTTGCCGCGCCGGCTCCAGACGGTGAGCTCGCAGCGCGGCGCCACCACCAGCGACGACAAGCAGTCGTTCCAGTCCCGCGGCAGGTAGGGCATGTCTGTGCCCGGCGGCACCGGCAGCACGCGGCCCCCGCAGCACTGGTCGTAGTAGGGGCTGGCGTCCACGTAGAGCTGGGCGCACAGCTTGGTGCCGTTGATGTCCTTCAGGTCGGCCGGCGCCGGGCACTGCGCCCCCCCCGGGCACGCCA